GTGGCTCTAGGGCAGGTGGGAGCTGTAAGGATGTTCATTATGGCTGTGAACTCTCTATGTCAAGAGAGAGAGAATTGGTGGCAGTTCTCATGTTTTGACTGGAAATAAGGCGCTGCCACATCAACTCTGTGCAGAATAAGGTACTGATAAAGGAAATCTACAAAAAACTCTATAACTAACATTGTGCTTAATGGTGAAAAATGGAATGTCTTTTCTCTCAAACTGGAGACAAGGCAAGGGCGTCTACTTTCCCCACTCCTGTTTACCACCACACTGGATGTCTTAACCAGGTTATCAAGGCCAGAGAAAGAAAGAAAAGGCACTTAGGTAGAAAAAATGAAACTGGTTTTAGATTGTTTATGAAAAAAGTCACAAGGAATCTACAAAAAATACTTAGAAACAATAAGTGAGTTTAGCAAGGTCCTAGAATATAAGGTCAACACACACACAAATCAATTGTATTGCTATATACCTAACAGTGAATGTTTGGAAATGAAACTTAAAAACCCATTTATAATAGCTTCCTGAAATGAAAATTTTAGATTTAAATCCAACAAAATATGTTTATGGAAAAGCAAGGAAACTACAATATCCAAAATAATTTTAAAAGAAGAATAAGTTAGAAGAAGTACAGTTCAGGTCTTATGACAACACCACAGTGATGAAGACAGTATACTATCAGCTGAGAGACAAGCAAACACACGATCAGTGAAATAGAATAAAGAGTTCAGGGACAGACCCATAAAAATATGGGCAGTTTTTGGTAGCAGCTTTATTGCAATATCATTCAAATACCATATAACTCACCTATTTAAAGTATATAGTGAATTTTTTTAGTATATTCAGAGTTGTGCAGCATCACCTTAAAACATTTTCATTACTTCAAATAGAAATCCCCTACTCTTTAGGTAGCACCTCCCAATCCCCCATTTCCCTATCCGTAAGCAGCCACTATTTTCTGTGTCTGTAGATTTGTCTATTCTGTACATTTCACATCATGGTGAGTGGCTTCCACTTAATGTTTTTAGCATTCATCTGTGTTTTGGTATTATACGTCATGTTTTTGTGGCCAGATATTTCAGTTTATGGAGGGATACCACATTTTCTTTATCTCTTTATCACTTGAGAGATATTTGGGTTGTGTCCACCTCTTGGCAATGGCCAATTGGTTTTTGACAAAGGTACAAAGCAATTAGTGAAGAAAGGGTATTCTTTTCAACAAGTAATGCTGAATCTATTGGATATTCATGTGGGGAAAAAAAAAGGAATATCAACCTAAACCTCATATCTTATAAAAACATTAATGCAAAATTGACTTAGATCTAAATGTGGAGCTTAGAACTGTTAACTCCTAAAAGAAAGAACAAGAAAAAATCTTTAGGACCTGTGCATAGGTAGGCAAAGAATTCTTAGACATGACTGTGAAATTCCAATTTTTTCTTATGCATGAGAAAAAAATATATAAATTAGACTTCATCAAAATGGAAAACTTTTCATCTTCCAAAGACACTGTTAAGAGAATGAAAAGACAAACGACAGATGGGGAGAAAATACTTGCAAATCACATATCCAGTGAAAAGACTTTTATCCTGAATATGTAAAAAGCTCTCAAAACGTAACAGTAAGAAAACAACCCAATTAAAAAATGGCAAAAGATATGAACAGACACTTCACCAAGGCCAGTGTAGAGATGGCAAATAAGCTCAGAAAAATACATTGAAGGGCATCTGGGCCTGAACTTGTACATATGAACGACTGTGTTGTTTAGAGTTTTCTTGTAGATGGACAGGAGACTAATGGTGATGCCATATTTCCAAGTGACTTTGGAGAAAAAGTGATGCAAAGCTAAAAAAAAAAAAAAAAGATATTTTACACCTTTAATTTCTTGGAGAAATGTGTGAAAGTCACAATGTGACACCACTGTATACCAACTAGAAACAAACCATGGTACATTCCAAGAGTGGGATGCTTCTTAACAATGAAAGGGAGCAAATTATGGATACACGCAACACGGATGAATCTCAAAGGCATTGTGTTGAGTGAAAGAAGCCAGTTTCAATCATACACTCTATGATTCTGTTTATATGAATATTCTGGAAAAGACTAAACTACAGTGATAGAGAACAGATCAGTGGTTGCCAGGGGTTAGGTACTGGGGAGACTGTGACAGCAAAGCAACGGCAAAATGGAATGTTTTAGACGGAGGGAGCTTCTCTCTATCCTGAGTGTGGTGGTTACACAAGTCTACACACGCATTAAAATTCATAGCACTGGCCGGGTGCGGTGGCGCACGCCTATAGCCCCAGCACTTTGGGAGGCTGAGGCGGGCAGATCACCTGAGGTCAGGAGTTTGAAACCAGCCTGGACAACATGGTGAAACGCCATCTCTACTAAAAATGCAAAAGTACCTAGAACAGGATGGTACTTCTTCATTTCGACTGGCCACTGGTGCAAAAAGTAATATCCTTTGTTTTTCAGGAGGGATTTATTGGCATATGAGCCTTTTCTCTCCATTTAATATATTAAGTAAGGCAACTTACAGTATTGTATGGTGATACAATAATTCTTAGTTGCCTACAGCATTGGGAAACTTAAGTTGAAGTCATAACTCATCTCTAACTAGTAGGATTACCTTAGTCCATTTAACTTCTTGGGTTTAGTTCTTAATTTCTCTTACATTTACAAATAAAGTTGAATTACTCTAAGAGTTTCTGTAACTTCCAGATAATAAAAACGATGATTACCAACACTTACATAGTGCACATTAGCTACCAGTCATGGTTGCCAGTATATATATGTATGTATTTATATTAAGTAAGCAGTCATGTGTAATTCTTAGAACTGCTATGTGAGGTTAGTATATAGTTACTCTTGAGGAACCTGAGACAAGGAAGGTAAAGTAGCCCAAGGCGTCAGAGCTAGTAAAAAGGGAAGCTGTGTTTGAAGGGAGAAAGTCTGGTTCCAGAGCCCATGCTCTTAACTCTTGTACTTCACTATATGGTCTCTCTCTCCCATAATTCTACTATTGCTTTGAATTGGATTTAATAAAAATGAAGATTTAGAGAAACCTCTCAATGGTTTCTTTTGAGACAGAGTCTCACTCTGTCACCCAGGCTGGAGCGCAGTAGTGCGATCTCAGCTCACTGCAACCTCCGCCTCCCAAATTTCACTGATTCTCCTTTCTCAACCTCCCAAGTAGGTGGGATTACAGGTGCCTGCCACCATGCCCAGCTAATTTTTGTATTTTTAGTAGAGACAGGGTTTCATCATGTTGTCTAGCCTGGTCTTGAACTCCTGACCTCAGGTGATCCACCTGCCTTGGCCTCCCGAAGTGCTGAGATTACAGGCTTGAGCCAATGCGCCTGGCCTGTTTCTTTTTTTTTAAACAGCAAAATATGAATAACAAATGCTTACTTTGTAAGGAGGGAGCAACTCTAGTTAAAATGATCCATTCAGAGGAAAATTAAGAAGGTTACCAGCTGTTAATGGTGATTGTGTTGTATATTTCATATGGTGTTCAGTGACCACAAGAGAATGTAAATCAAACTGAAGTTACTCTGAGGACGCTGCAGTCTTTGAAGTTGTGCAGTGGCTTTAAAAAATTGTGTAAAAACAAACCCAAATCACTGTTTTTAAAGTCAGATTTAACCAGACTGTGATTCTGCACGATTCTGTTGTCAGGCCTCCCCTGGGATACAAATGTGTTCTGGATGCCATATTTTAAGAAAAGCCCAACTGGCCTGAGGGATGAGATTTAGGACAATGTTACGTAAGAAGCAGCGGAAGGATCTGGGGATGCTCAGCTGGGAGAAGGAAGGATGATCTCAAATATATGAAAAGCTGTCCTTTAGAAGGATTAAACTCCACGGGATAGAGTTGAACCAGTAGGTGCTAGTTACAGAGTGGCAGACTGGAGCTTGGTGGAAGCCAGCTGAATGCAAAATTGGCTGACTTATGTGGTGTTGATTTCTTTGTCAGGAGATTTTCAAGTGAAGGCTAAGTAACACCAGGAAAGGGATGTGACAGCAGATTCGTCCTGGTTTAGATGGACAAGGTGACATTGTAGTTCTCTTGTCACAGTGTCTGGCATATGATATGTACTCAGTAAACAACTGTTAAATTAATGACTTAAAGAAATAGAACAGGATAAATATTCTGATTATTTAAAACCGCAGTGACTCATTTTAAAATGACTTATTTGCTTCTGTCCAAATTACAAGCAGAGACTGAGAGGGAAGAACATTTACCTTGATTTAGTGATAGGTTTGATTGCTTTCTAGTTCCTCTTATATACCATAACTTACATGACTATTATGTAAGTAATTACTATATAAGTTTAAGAATGCACACATTTTTATATGCATACATGTCTCAGCTTATTAACTTGTAAGCTCTCTGCTATTAGGATTATGTATTTTCATAGGTATTCCTTCACAGCACCAAGCCAGAACCACCTTTGTGAAATAATATAATGCGAAGGATTTCAAACTTGTGTGTGTGTGGGTGTATGTGCATGTGTGTGTGGGTGCATGTGCACACACTTGCGCAGTGGTGGGGGGCTTGTTGCCCCTAGTCTCTTCATTTTCACCTTTCATTTATGTATTTTACTTCATTTTTTTGAGACAGTCTTACTGTGTTGCCCGGCTGCAGTGCAGCCTCAGCTCACTGTAGCCTCTGCCTCCCCAGTTTAAGTGATTTTTCTGCCTCAGTCTCCCTAGTAGGTGAGACTACAAGTGTGCACCACCAGGCCTGGCTAATTTTTGCATTTTTAGTACAGACAGAGTTTCACCATATTGGCCAGGCTGGTCTTGGCTCCTCACCTCAAGTGATCTGCCCGCCTTGGCCTCCCAAAGTGCCGGAATTACAGTTGTGAGCCACTGTGCCTGGCCTCATTCACGTATTCTAATGCTGATTCTGACATTTAGAAACCTTTACTGAACCAGATTTGAATCGTGTCTGATGTAGAAGGGAGTATGTTCAGTGTTTGTTGTTTTTGTCAGGTGCATGTGAGGGAACTCTGGCTTGTTCAACTTGTCACCTCATCTTTGAAGATCACATATTTGAGAAGTTAGATGCAATCACTGATGAGGAAAATGACATGCTCGATCTGGCATATGGACTAACAGACAGGTAAGATTTCTGGACTGCTTCAATTGTGCTAATAATCTGGGAACATAGATATTTTATTATGTTTTCTATGTAAGACCAGACCCATGAATGGAATAATGTTCTACCAGGTTAAATAACAGATTTTGAGTATCAGATACGTGGCATTTCTCTTTGTTTTCACTGTTCTACAGTTTAGAATTTATGAAACTTTTTACAAAAGTAATAAAAAAGTTAATTGGAAGTATTGGAAATATAAGTTCTAGATCCTAACAAATCCTCTTTTTACTCCAGGAACCAGTATTTATCACAACTTGATGGGAGGAGTTAAACTTAATGATTTTATAGTATTCTTGAAGGACAGACTTGACAAGTGAACAAATTATAGTGGAAAGTTTTACCTATTTGAGAGAACAGAATTTTTAAAGAAACTTAATATATAATAGTAATTATGTTAAAATGGATAATTATTTTTCTAAGTGTACATTAATCAGAGCTTCTTATTGTTATTAAAGATTTACAGTGGCAAGTGACATCAAGTGATACCTTTTTTTTGAAAAAATTATCTAGTCTTTTGATTGGAGTCAGGGAAGGTAGCTAGTTGATATACTGCTTCAAGGGGTAAGATAATGAGGGCTTATTACTTAATCAAGGTTGGCACTGTTTAACTCTAATCTGGTAACCTTAATGGCAAGTAATTTTTAAAAAATAGTTTTATTTCATGTATATTATATAGCTAGAATTTTAATCCTCACAATCATTTTTAGGTCATTTGAATTTATTTAGAGAAGAAGGATCATTTTGTTCCTTTTATGGTTTATTTCCCTCTTGGTGAATGTGAGACTGATAACCCTGGGAAGAGAAACTGATAACATAGTATCTCTTTGGACACTAAAGCAGAGTGGAATGTGGCTACTGTCTGCCCATCCTCTCACATCTTCACTGCCACATCCTCTATGAGCACCTCCTTTCTTTTTCCCCTAACACAGAGACTAAATCCAATAACTATATTAGTTAGGTTCTGAGAATTGTGCCTCTTAATAAGAGAGTTAAATCATAGCTCGCCGCTTGCCCTTTTCTATAGATACAATTTGTAGATGCATGTAATATAATAGATAATATTCTAATTGAAAGGGAAAAGGGAGAGCTACATTTAGAAGAGATACAAAAGGTGTATGATAAATGTAAGCCAGCAAGAATATTGATGATAAAATTTCCAAGTTTTAGTGCTAGAAAATAGAGAGCAAGGAACAGCTTTTATAGTGTTTTATAGCTGGTATTCTAAAGTACACAGAGTTTTAGTAGAAATACTTTGGGGGAAAGAGAATAATTAGTTTCACAGGTAGCATTTACAAAACACACTGACATATTTGGAATGGGAAGAATTTTGTTCAAAGCTAATAACCACATGTAAACTTATTTTTAGGGTATCAGAAAGTTTCAGAAAAGGAATAAGGAAATTCAACCTTATAATTCATACTTTAAAGTTAAATACTATGTAAATGTTTTTAATTTTTAAGCAAAAACACTATCATTCCAATAATTTTTTTTTTCGTTTTGAGACAGAGTTTTGCTCTGTCTCCCAGGATGCAGTGCAATGGCACGATCTTGGCTCACTGCAACCTCTACCTCTTGGGTTCAGGTGATTCTCCTGCCTTGGCCTCCTGAGTAGCTGGGATTACAGGTGCCTGCCACCACGACGAGCTAATTTTTGTGTTTTTAGCAGAGATGGGGTTTCACCGTGTTGGGCAGGCTGGTCTTGAACTCCTGACCTCAGGTGATCTGCCCTCATTGGCCTCCCAAAGTGCTGGGATTACAGGCATGAGCCACCACACCTGGCTTCGGTGTTTTATTGGTTGTTCTTAACCTTGATTGTTGATATATGAATGATACATGAAAGCCTCATTTTTTTTTTTCATACTGGTTACCTGTCTCTCTTTTCCCATTAGAAGAACAGCCATGTTTTGTGTTACCATTGTATCTCCAATGCCAGGTTCACAATAGAGGTCACCAACAGTTTGCAGAATTAACAGTTGATGGAAAGGGAGATTCAGGAATTACCTGTGAGTTTGCAATGGATGCTTGTCATTGCTCCCTGCCACCAGTGTCCATGGATAATCTACACAGAGGTCTCAGATTCCTTATATGCAAGATGAGGATAATAATAGTACCTACCTCATATTATTGCTGTGTGGAGCTAATGAGGAAATATATGTGAAGCTCTCAGAAGAGTGCTTGGTAGAGAAAGCATTCATTAAATGGTAGTTGTTAGCATTGTAGCTACCATCATATTGGCCTATCTGTTGGGAACTTACTGTAATGCCTAGGCGCTTAAATATGATTTCTAACTTTCAGGGTTAGACAGTACTATCACCATATTGTAGGTGGGGAGATGAGGCTTAGTTATTGCATATTTGCTTAAGGCTGCACAGCTAGTGTGTAACACCCTGATTTGAATCCAGCTATTCAAAGCCCTGGGTCTTTTACTATTTCAGGCTACTTCTCTGAATTGAAAACTAAAGGCCAGGCGCGGTGGCTCAAGCCTGTAATCCCAGCACTTTGGGAGGCCGAGGTGGGTGGATCACGAGGTCAACAGATCGAGACCATCCTGGTCAGCATGGTGAAACCCCGTCTCTACAAAAAATTAGCTGGGCACGGTGGCGCGTGCCTGTAATCCCAGCTACTCAGGAGGCTGAGGCAGGAAATTGCCTGAACCCAGGAGGCAGAGGTTGCGGTGAGCCGAGATCACGCCATTGCACTCCAGCCTGGGTAGCAAGAGCAAAATTCCGTCTCAAAAAAAGAAAAAGAAAACTAAACCCCAGAACTAAAGTAAACCTGATACCCGGTATATTTTCACCGTCAGGAATATGTAGCAAGAGAGACTGGGGAAAATAACTTCCAGGTTTGCAGAAGTGTCAGAGTGTTGTGGGACTCAAAGTGTGAAATCAGGGGAACCTTGTTTTCTGTCTCCTTCTCTAGAAGTATGAGACACTGTCTATACTGGTGGATCTTGGAGCCAGAGACCTTTAAGGAGATAGAATAAGTAGGAGAATGAGAAAATAGCCACGAAGCGCACTACCGCCTTATTTTCTAGAGTGAGTTGGAGCTTTTAGTGCTGTCTTTCTGTGTTCCCATGACAGACCTATTGTCCTTCTATCACCACACTTGTGATATCCTGCCCTGTTTCACTGATAACTGTTTCCATCTCTTTCCCTTACTAAAGTAACAGTTCCTTGAAGACCAGCATCATCTTGCTATCTGTATAGAAATACCAAGAATAACCACCAGGCTCTCAAGGGCTTGCTCTCCTAATGAATTTGTCCAAATTGGCTTGCCACTTTTTCTCTCTTGCATAATTGAGTATTGTCAAGGCTGGTTCCAATTCTACAAATGAAGAACTCTTGGTAGAGGGAATGTTTTCTGTTAGGAATCAGTATTTCCCATGGTTAAGCATACTCCTTTACTTCAGAACTTCCTGGTGCTTCCTCCTAGCTCACCAGTAAAAGCTCAGGCCCCTTAACTGATATTCACAGCTGCCTGTGGCTCTGGTCGCCTTTCTGGCCCATCGTCCCCCTTGTCCTTGTTTGTGCTGTGCAGCAACCAAGCTAAAACACCCATCTCGCCTTAAAGGTGACTTGAGTGTCTCTGCATTGTGTTGCCTTTGCCTCGCATACTTTTCTTCTTTATCTTTTATTAAATAGTAAATAGTAAATCCTACCTATCCCTCAAAGCCCACTGTGGATACCACCTCCTGTGGCCAGAAGTAGGCGCTTTTTCCTTAGACCTCTTAGAGCCATTTGGCATTTGCCACGGTCTCGCATGTTAACTACCTGACTGTGTGTCATCTCTTCTCTTTGATTGAAAGTTTACTCATTAATGTTGGCATTAGCGACCGATCCTAACAGCAGTCCTGTGAGGTTTCTCCTACTCATCTTGAAGATTAGGTTAGGAAACCAGCGTTTGTTAGGTTAAGCAAGTTGTGTATTAAATGCTGGATTCCATCCTGCTGGTCTCGTTGGCTGTAATTCTGATGCTGTCTCTTTAAGTGCATCCCAATGGCCGGAAAATAAGACATTAAGAAAGTATGGAGTTGAGTTGCTCTTTTTCACTGACATTTAGTATTGTGCCCGTAGGTGCTCAATAAATGCTTGAAGAATACATTAATAAAACCAAGACCTGAATATCACATTTCCTCAAATCGAAGACATGTTGATTGTAAGATTAACATTCCTTTTTATAGGCCACTAAGGAAGAAAAAAGCACTGCTAATTCAAGTATGGCATAGTGTCATCACTTAACGTATTTTCTGCATATTGAAAGAGTTCTTTAGACTTATCTAGACATAGATTTGAATTATATATCACTACTGAGAAAAGAAAATAGGCTGACTGTGGTGGCTCATGCCTGTAATCCCAGCACTTTGGGAGGCCGAGGCGGGTGGATCACTTGAGCCTTAGAGTTTGAGACACCTTAGGCAACATGGTGAAATCTTGTCTCCACAAAAAATACAAAAAGTTTCCAAGCATGGTGGTGCACGCCTGTAGTCACAGCTACTCAGGAGGCTGAGGTGGTGTGATCACCAGAGCTCGGGAGGTGGAGGTTGCAGTGAGCTGAAATCATGCCCCTGCACTCCAGCCTGGGTGACAGACCCAGACCCTTTCTTAAAAAAAAAAAAAAAGGCCGGGTGCGGTGGCTCAAGCCTGTAATCCCAGCGGTTTGGGAGGCCAAGGCGGGTGGATCAGGAGGTCAAGAGCGCGAGACCATCTTGGTCAACATGGTGAGACCCCGTCTCTACTAAAAATACGAAAAATTAGCTGGGCATGGTGGCGCGTGCCTGTAATCCCAGCTACTCAGGAGGCTGAGGCAGGAGAATTGCCTGAACCCAGGAGGCGGAGGTTGCAGTGAGCCGAGATTGCGCCATTGTACTCCAGCCTGGGTAACAAGAGCGAAACTTCGTCTCAAAAAAAAAAAGAAAAAAGAAAAAAAGAAAGGAAAATGTACACAAAATAAATTTAGTAGTAATTGTGTAAAAAAGAGGAAATTATAGTAATTCTTAAAATGACAAATATTTATTAATTCCAAATTTATACACTGCTTGCTTTCTGTATTCTTCTTCGTTTTCATTTTGTAATCTTTTTAGACTTATTTTGAAAAGTAGTAAATTCAACATGTGGTACTTACATACTTCCCATAACTAAGTTGAAGAGACCCCTGTATGAATATTGTCATCAAATTTGTAGCTGTGACATGACCATTACCCGACAGTGTAGCAGTGATTGTAAGATTCCATTGATTTTAAGATGCCTCTTGATTTTCAGAGATGGTAAAAATTTGAGAAAAAATATGCTCTTAGAATTGATGACTTAAGTCCATGCATTTATTCCAGATTTCTTCCTTTAAAGGTTTTAAAAAGTATAGATTTCTTTTACAGTCTGTGTGGTTCTAATCATCCAGGAAATGATGAATCCTTTTCTTGGCCTTGCTAATAACCATTGTGCCTTCTGATTGTTTCCTTGCTTGTCAGCCCTTTGACCAAAAAGTAGTGGTCTGGTGAAAATAGGAACTAAAGGCTAAAATGAAGCTTCGGCACACCAGGTTTATTGTGTTCATATTTATTTACCTTTTGTTATTCTCCAGTTGATAGGGTTGGTTTTATCTGTTTTGACATAAAGGAAATTTAAAATGTTAATGAGTTCCCTGACCGCTTTGGGTAAGAAAACATAAAGGCTGTCTTTTTTTTTTTTTTTTTTTTGATACGGAGTTTCACTCTTGTTACCCAGGCTGGAGTGCAATGGCTCAATCTTGGCTCACCACAACCTCCGCCTCCTGGGTTCAGGCAATTCTCCTGCCTCAGCCTCCTGAGTAGCTGGGATTACAGGCACGTGCCACCATGCCCAGCTAATTTTTTGTATTTTTAGTAGAGACGGGGTTTCACCATGTTGACCGGGATGGTCTCGATCTCTTGACCTCGTGATCCACCCGCCTCGGCCTCCCAAAGTGCTGGGATTACAGGTGTGAGCCACCGCGCCCGGCCCTAAGGCTGTCTTAAACAGCTGGATTGCCTTGTGAATCATATATACATAATGCTAAACCATACCTCCCTCCTTTTCCACACAGATCACGGTTGGGCTGCCAAATCTGCTTGACAAAATCTATGGACAATATGACTGTTCGAGTGCCTGAAACAGTGGCTGATGCCAGACAGTCCGTTGATGTGGGCAAGACCTCCTGAACTGAACAAATAGGAATAATTTCATGGAATTTTACCTATTTTTATAATTATTATTTCTTAATATCATTAAATGAGAACATGGATGAGTGGACTTTGTATTATGACTAGCTTTACTATTTCAATTCACCTCATATAACTACTGAATTTTGTAGTTCTTGAAAGTATGCAGTTTTTATTTTGATTATATTACAAAAATGTCAGTCAAATATTAGAAAATAGTTAATGTGATAAAAAAAACTGATTCTTTTTTCCTTATGTTTAGTGACTTTAGCAAAACGTTTTCATATAATCTCATCTGTTTACCTAGAAGATAGGTTAAAAAAAAAGATATTATTCTTGTTTGATGTGGGTGAAGGCAGAGATTTAATGGGCTATACCACTAATTAGAAAATGTGTACTAGAACCTGTGTCTTATTACTGTAAGTTATATGTTCAGACTGAAACTGGAGACATTATGACTATCTTATTTATAGCAGTAGTTAAATATGATTGAATTGCTCAGTTAACTGCTTAGCTTCAAAGATAGTTATTAACCTTATACATAAATATTTCCAAATTTTGATTGTGAAGTTTAAGTCTGAACATAGGCATTGTAACACTGCCAAAGAAGTTCGATCTCTGTTTTGACTAAACTAGAGGAAGGACTATTGGATGTGTTTATTCTTTTCTATTCTGAAAAGAATGGCTTAACTTTGTACTCTTTGAATAACAATGCTGATTTATAAATCTCTGCCTGTAACGGAATGGAAACCTTATGAATGAATTATGTGTCTCTGTCCTGAGCTGGAGAAGGGAATGAGCGGGCTGACATATCACACAGCCCCAGGTGGCGCCGTTCTCTCACACAAGGGTGGAGCTCCAGCCTGTGCTGCGGTGTGTGTCAGTCCCAGGAGGGAGGGAGTGGCCTGAGCACCACAGATTACCAAGTATGTGTGGAAGACATTTGTATTCTTATCTTTGCTATAAATAAATTCATGAAAGTTAACAAAGGGGTACACAGTATGGTCTCTGGAAATATGATAAAAGTTTAACTAACTTGGACTAATTGTGAGGAAGAGCAGAACAAATTAGTAGAAAAAAGGTGAATTACAGGACAATTGAGTTAGCTTCATGTGTATTATTGCAGCTTGATCATTTATATAAATACTTGTCAAGTACAATGCTTGACATACAGCATTGCGTTAGGCCCGTTATGGACACAGAGATGAACGAAACAAGGAGTGTCATCAAGGAATTCACATTTTATTAGGAAAAGGTAAAATATGTATGTATGTGCAATAATTTGCTTGAACTAAACTGACTAGTTCTGGAAAGTAAGATTTTAAACTGATTTATATGTAAAAAGTGATTAGGAAGAACTTGAAGTATCTGATTTTCATTTGATGCTTAATAACTACTGGGTATGTTTTTGTTTTTTTTGAGACAGGGTCTCGCTGTGTCACCCAGACTGGAGTGCAGTAGTGCGATCTCAGTTCACTGCAACTTCTGCCTCTCAGGTTCAAGCGATTCTTGTGCCTCAGCCTCCTGAGTAGCTGGGACTACTGGCACGGGCCACCATACCTGGCTGATTTTTGTATTTTTTGTAGGGACGGGGTTTTGCCACGTTTCTCAGGCTGGTCTTAAACTTTTGAGTTCAAGTGATCCCCCCACCTCAGCCTCCCCAAATGCTGGGATTACAGGTGTGAGCCACTGTGCTTGGCCATAACTATTGAATGCTTTCTAGGTAGAGTGTGCTTGTCTTAATTGACTGTTGCTATAATAGAATACCACAGACTGGGTAATTTATAAAGAAAAGAGGGTCATGGTTCTGGAGGCCGGGAGGTCCAAGAGCATGGCACCAGCATCTGCTTGGCATCTGGTGAGGGCCTTTTTGCTGCATCGTTAGGTGGTGGAAGGGCAAAACAATGTGAGTGAGAGCAAGAGAGCAAAATGATTATCCTTTTATCAGGAGCCCACTCCTGACTTAACTAATCCACAACTGAGATAAAGGCATTAATCCATTCATGAGGGCTCCGCTCTTAAAGATCACCCCTTACAGGACCCAGCTTTCTACGCCATTGCAGTGGCAACTATATTTCAACATGAGTTTTGGAGGGGACATTCAAACCATAACGGGGCTATAATTTTAAATACCTCAAAGCCAGTTTATTCCCTCAATTAGCTTCAGTATTCTTGTCTTTGTGTGTGGATTACCTAAACTCTCCTTCCAGAGCGACTCTAATGATTATGTTCAACCAAAGCACTGTAAAATTTAGAGTATAAATGGTCTTATATTTCAAATTAGAAAAGTTCAAATAAATGAAGTTTAATTGCGTTAGTATAGAAAGCCTTCTAAAATTATTAAATGGAGGCTATAATCTGTAATTGGTTTGTATAAAGGTGATTTTTCAGTTTGAAAAAAATCTTTCTGTATTTGATATATGTGTGTTGTAGGTAAATGTGTTTGTTTATCTATTGCTGCAAAACAAATTACCCCAAAGCTTAGTGGCTTAAAACCAGAATCTTACATTATTTCAGACAGTACCTATGAGTCAGGAATTCAGAGTACAGGGCAAGGATGGCTTGTCTCTGCTCCACAATATCTGGGTCTTAAGCCAGATGATTCAAAGGCCACGTTCTGGAATCATCTTCAGGCTTATTCTTCATATGACTGGTATCATATGTTGGCATCAGCGGGGGAGTCTAGGAGAAGATATTGACCGGAACACCCACACATGGCTTCTCTGTGTGGCTTGGACTTCCTTACAATGTGGTGGCTGGGTTCTAAGGGCAAGTATCCCAAGAGGAGCATGCATGCCAGGCAGAAGCCCTTTATGAGCTGGTTGTGGAAGTGACACAGTATCACACCCAACTATTCTTTTCATTACAAGTGAAGCACTAAGTCTGGCCCATGATTCAAAGGGAGGGGTTTCCAAGTATTTGGGGCCATCACAGTAACTGTTAACTTATTGGCCCTTGATTTCCTGTGAATATTGGCCTTTTAACTAACTGTTCTAAACTTCTTAAGAGTAGCTAGTTTTTCCTCTTACGTTGGAAAGATTCTTGTGTCTGCTTTATTATGATGGCTCACTTGTCTTATTCTATAACTCCCAACATTTTCCTTCTTGACTGTTGATTTAAATGAAAAGAAAAAACAGTGGGTTCCCTTTCCATGCTATGAATTTTTTTTCTACCTTTTGTAGCATTTTTCCACCAAGAAAGGCATCTTCCTTTGGTATAGAGTTCTATGTAATTATTGGTTATGTGCTAATACTTAATATTGTATTTGGCTTTCACAGATAAAACCAACCTATAATTACTTAAGTAATTCAGACCCATTGAATTAATTTCTTAAGTGAACCATTGTAAGGAATTCTAAAACCTTTTGCCTTTCACTGTGAAAATATTGTCTGATTTTTCTGTCTCGAAAAACAGCTTTCCTATTTTCTTTTTAAGTATCAGATGATGATCCATGTGGTCGCTTAGTGGTCATTCAGCAGTTACTAGAATGACTATATTTACTCGAATAATTGTTTTCTAAGAGAGACTTTGACTCTTCATATGTTTTCCCAGCGTTTCTTTTTCTTCTTTTTCAGAAGTCTTTTAATTGTTTTTCCTTCCTGAAGTTTTGTGGTAAACCACATTTTGGATCCGAATTTGTTAGATGACTTTCTTATTTGTAGGACAACTTATTCTATTTTTAAAAAAAAGGAATAAGTTTATATTTTACATTAGTAAAACTTTATAAAGTGTAAATAAACCACAGTAAGACATTCAAGCATTATGTATAAATTTTGTTTTCTATTACAGAAATATTGAAGAATAGAAATATGATCTTTGTTAGCAATGACAGGATTCTTTTAATGTGTCAATACATCACATGACATCAAGTTATTTTTATAAGATTTTTTCTGTTTATTATTTCTAGAAACTGAAAAATTAGAAAATCAGCTGGCAGGAGGAAGGTATGATCAGTAGCAGACACAAATACATGTGGCCATAACAGAACAGAAATGGGGAGTGAAAGGATCATTTAAATCCACCAGAAGCAGCTTCCAAGGGGAGTTGATAGAAGGATCTTCACGGTGAGGGGCATCACTGCTGCAGTGACACTTACTCATAAGCTATCTAATAGACGTCTCTTTCCTTTTTCCTTTGACTCTCATTTCCTTATTGTCTAAGATGTTACTTGTCATTTCATTTGTAGAATTGATTTGATAGTAATATGAAATGAAGCAGAGCCTTTTGCTTTTCCGGTTCCCTTGCTTACAGCCACTTCTGAAATCATCAGCACTCAGCTTGGTTTACCTCAGTGGCCTTTATTACTCTCTTTCTGTCCCATTACTGTGCTTCCGGCTGCCCTTTAGAGTAGTACTTACTCTGTCTAGCAGTGAGCACATCAGCAGTTTTCAGCAGTTTTTCCTGATAGAATAGCACTTACTCTTTTTTTTTTTTTTTTTTTTTAAACAGAGTCTTGCTCTCTTGCCCAGGCCAGAGTACAGTGGCATGATCCTGCTCACTGCAAACTCTACCCCCTGGGTTCAAGCAATTCTCAGGCCTCAGTCTCCTGAGTAGCTGGGACTACAGGCGCCTGCCACTATGCCTGGCTAATTTTTTGTATTTTTAGTAGAGACAGGGTTTCACCATGTTGGCCAGGCTGGTCTCAAACTCTTGACCTCAAGTGATCCACCTGCCTTGGCCTCCCAAAGTGCCGTGATGACAGGCATGAGCCACTGCACCAGCCAGTGCTTACTCTTTTTTTTTAAATTAAATTAAATTTTTTTTACTGCATCTTAGGTTTTGGGGTACATGCGAAGAACATGCAAGATACTTACATAGGTACACACATGGCAGTGTGTTTTGTTGCCTTCCTCCCCATCACCTATATCTAGTATTTCTCCCCATACTTTCTCTCCCCAACTCCCCACCCCCCACTGTCCCTCCCTAAATCCCCCCCCCACAGACCCCAGTGTGGGATGCTTCCCTCCCTGTGTCCATGTGTTTTCATTGTTCAACACCCACCTATGAATGATGAGAACATGTGGTGTTTGATTTTCTGTTCTTGTATCAGTTTGCTGAGAATGATTAATGCAAATCAAAACTACATTGAGACACCATCTCACGCCAGTTAGAATGGCGATCATTAGAAAATCTGGAGACAACAGATGCTGGAGAGGATGTGGAGAAATAGGAACACTTTTACCCTGTTGGTGGGAGTGTAAATTAGTTCAACCATTGTGGAAGACAGTGTGGCGATTCCTCAAGGACCTAGAAATAGAAATTCCATTTGACCCAGCAATCCCATTACTGGGTATATATCCAAAGGACTATAAATCGTTCTACTATAAGGACACATGCACACGAATGTTCATTGCAGCACTGTTTACAATAGCAAAGACCTGGAACCAACCCAAATGCCCATTGATCATAGACTGGACAGGGAAAATGTGGCAAGTATACACCATGGAATACTATGCAGCTATCAAAAATGATGAGTTTGTGTCCTTAGTAGGGACATGGATGAAACTGGAAATTATCATTCTCAGCAAACTGACACAGTGCTTACTGTTTTTAAGAATAAGGACTTGGTTGTGTTCAATTTTATAACTGCAATATCTATCATAGTATTTAGCCCACTGTAGATAATATAGTAAGTATTTGAATTAATCAAATCCTGGTCTTACAAGGAATCTGCTTCCAGCATTTAATATACTGACCCTGCACCCTAATTAACAGGAGTCAGGTTACATAGGAATGTTGTTTTGAAAAATGAGATAATTTCCACTGCAGTGAAAAGGACAGTGTTCAACTTTTTTTTTTTTTTTTTAACATATCTTGGAGGAAACTGCCTTCAAATGAGCTGAATGCTACTTTTGATCTTGTCGGTCAGTGGTTCTGAGGCATGAGCGCTGAAGGTCCTGTAGGTGGCACATGTACTCCACCTCCTTGCATCACGTGCTTCCGCCATGTTCATACCTCCAGATGAGTGTTCCTCCATCGCTTGGAAGCACCT